GTCAGTCGGTGCCAACGGCGTTGTTGTGCACGAGGTCGAGCCAACGTGGCAGAGCTTGGACGAGGACGACGTTTTCGTCCTCGACACTGGTGACAAGATCTGGCAGTGGCAGGGCAAGAGCTGCAGCCCGATGGAGAAGGCCAAGGCTGCTCAGGTCGTCAACGACATGACGCTCGCGAAGCATATCGACGTTGAGGTTCTGGCCCAAGAGGAATCGAGGTCTCGCGTGATTGTCGCTCTTCTCGGAGGCAGCGATGATACGCCTCAGTCTGGATTCCACTGTCCTAGACCGGTTAGATCGGCATCCAAGGCACACGCCGGCGAGCGACCTCAGAAGCTGTACCGTCTCAGCGATGCTTCAGGCGAGCTCAGATTCGACCTCGTCAAGGACGGCAGCAAGGCAGCTCTCTCAGACTTTGAAGAGCAGGACGTGTTTCTTTTGGACGATGCGGGCCGGGCCGTTTGGGTGTGGGAAGGACAGGGAGCAAGCCGGGGAGAGAAGGCCAACTGGCTCAGAGTTGCACAGGCGTATGTTCGACAATTGCAGGGAGGATCAGAGGCCGAGGAGGCTCATCTCACGCCTGTTGCCAAGGTGACTCAGGGTAACGAGAACAGGGCTTTCTTGAAGGCTGTGGCAGTATAATAGTTTCTGCGGTGCATCGAAGAAAAGGAGGGGTTCGTCGGCCTTTGGCTAGCCGCGAGGTTCAGGATGTAGATGCAATCGAAATAAGAGTCTTGTGTTGGTCTTGTACTACCTCGCCGTTTGAGGGAGTCACTATCTCAGGTGTATTCTGGTGATGCCTCTGCGGGTACATGATTTCGATGATGACCAAACAGAATCAATCGTCCGCAGAAGATGAACGATGATGATGGTTGCATTTGCATCTTGGATAGAAGTGTCGTTGGACTGGATGGGATCCAGGGATGTGTGGTACCGGCGGACGGAGACTTGTATCCGAGGGGAGCCAGTAGCGACAGGAAGTCACGCCTGATCGTGCCTGTCTTCAAGCGTGACATGTGCTTGCCTCTTCAGCAGGAACACCACAACGGCAAGCACTAGTACAGCTCACGGAAGAACAAACTGCACATCATCAGCTTCCATAGTTACAACACCACCAGTTCCCGTCTTTCCTCCCGTCAACTGCCGTCGTACCTGACATCTTTTAAGTACTAGGACAGGCAACATCATTCCCTACTTTAGGTAAGCAGGTTATCCTCAGATATGCTCTCGACGAAGGCAGGAAGGGATCCGATGACTGTTCTTATCATCTTTCTTATCGGTAATCCAACGTTAGTGGCTAGCTACCTCAAGGAAGCCTGGTAGTACTCTTCTACTCCTAGCAGCTAGTAAAGGAAGACACCACAGATCACCGCATAAGTAACCTAGGTACCTAATAGCAATATTTGACAAAATACCGTACGGTAAATCAAGGATAAGTGTTGGGAACAATCACATATTGCAAATAAAGAAGAATCGAAAGGAATAATAAGTAATCAATTGCAGAAGCAGAGCCAAAGTCGACCGACGATGGAATCTATGGTATCTTTCCCTCCCTGTAAACGCCTCTCGATCAATATCCGCCCCTCCTTAACCCTCCTTCATCTCATCGTCTGTATCGTGGTCGCTGTGGGGGGGTTGTCGCCAAGGCGATCAGGAATGAGTCACTGGCATCGACCCTTCGCCGCACGCACACGCTTTCCCACCGATATCCGCGTCCGACTATCTGGTGTGGGAGGCTAGGACGATCACCCTACTTTCCGCCGTACTGGTTCATGGTCTTTGAGATGTTCTCCGCGGCTCTAGCCTGGTGGCGCGCCTGACTAGCAGCGACATCACCGTTTCGAAACGCGGCGCCGTATGCACTCGGTTCATCGGAAGTTGATTGGTTCTGGTACATTGAAGTCCGTAGTTGGGTAAGCTCTTTCTTGGATTCTTTGGATGAGTGCTTGTGTGACCCCTTTGAGGAGGAATGGCTACTACCCGTCGGATTAGCAAATCAGCCCGATGCACTCGCTTCCTTCCCCTCATATCCCCCTCCTGGAGCCGGATAATGTACCCGCTGTAAGATGACTGTCCGGAGTGCGCCATGTTTGCCTATGCCAAGGATGGATAGCGTATGCGGAGTGACGGGCGTGAATTCTTGTGAATGACTGATTGCAGAGGAATCGAGTAACTTTTCGTGAGGTTGCGAGCCTGGTCGTTCATGTGTAGAAGTGCAGGTTCCTTAGGATCCAATTTCGCGGGTTTAAATACTGGTGACTTGCAAAGCGCGCGCACCATTGCCCGCCAAAGCTGTGGTTTGAAAAGAGACATGATACACTTTAGGCCCTTGTATGGGTGACTGCCCAGCAAAACGCCATGTGCTGTTGCGATGGGGTTGAGTTGGGTGGAACGAGGCCATTGAACGAATGGCAGTGTCGAATTACTACCCAAGTAAGTCGAGGCGGTCGAACAGCAATGCCGTAGCCGTAGCATGGTAATTACATTGAGAGGAGGTGTGGCAATCGAGACGGGGAGGCAGGTGCCTTGCAGGGGGGGAGGTTGTCGAAGGATTCATACACTTCTCCAGTTGCTGTATGTTAGTCTCCTCAGCCTGCTAAGGCGCCCGCTCCGCCCCCGCGAATTGAATATTCGGCGTGTGCCGGCCGCGTAAGTAACGGTATCTACGGAGTCAGTGAAGTTGTCGTATTAAGCCTTTATGGCTGCATTGGAAAGGATAGCAAAGCAGGCATGGTGCCTTTGCATAAGTGGTATAGCAGTTCTGTGATAGCATCCTCAATCTTGGGTAGAGATAAGGTACTCCAACCATCTTGAACTGTGGGTCGAAGCATCGGCGCCTTGCTCGGAATGTTGACAATGTCGAAGGATTGATGAGATATGTCTTTCGCTTGAAAGAACTGTATAGGCAGTAAGCTTTCTTCCCAGCAATGTAGAGAGTATGAAGCACATTCGCATCGCATGCCGTTCGCACGGAAGCTTGGATGTCACCGGGACCGGCCCAGATCAACAAGTCATAACTTGCAGCGATGGAAGCAATCCACCCCGCTGGACGAGGTAACGGGTCGATGCGCAAAACCGAATGGACTTCGAGTGTGCTGGAAAGCCTAGACTTGACTTCAAGTCGGTCGACGATTCAGGCAACTCATTGGATGGTCGGAAGTACCGTGCAGGAGAGACTCGCTGCCATGCGGAAAGGAAGTAGTTCCAAGCCGAGATTGTTGACAGACTGCGACTATGAATTGTAAGATTGGCAAAGTAAGGCTTGCGGGCGTAGATCTTCTCAATAACGCGACGCCGCGAAAGAAGTTGGTGGAAAGTCGCGGTGTGCGCTCATCCACATGGCTTTCCAAGTGGAAATGGAAAAACTCCAAATCCAGCACGGCTCGAAGGTGAGGGCTATGCAGTGTGATGAGCTGATTCGTATTGGTGTAGTGCATAAGTCTGCCTTGCTGAGAGTGAGCGAGACCCAATCGATGGCTTGGTGGTGATGAAGGCGGGTGTGCTGAGGAAAAGGGGGCGCTCCAGGGCTCGAGATGATGCGAGGTGACGCGGCGAGGAGCCTCCCGCTTGGAATCCGCCTCATCGGCGCATCATCGCGTTTCTGCCTCGCGGCGCCTGATTCGGTTGCCGATGAGGCACCGGCGGTTCGCGGTCGACGAGACAGTTCGAATTGCCTCGTATGGAGGAGATGGTTCGCCGTTGGGTCGCCTGGGGATGCTTGCTGAGTCATGCAATTCCATGACCAAGTGTTGTCGGGTGCACCCAGATGGTCTAACTGAGCCCGCGATGACGAAGCTGCCCGCGATGACGAAGCTGACGAAGCTGACGAAGCTGACGAAGCTGACGAAGCGTTGGACCGTGGGAGATGTTGTGAGTATGGATTCGCTGTAGGCGTGAACGAATGAATGTAGCCATGTTCGTGGTTGTATTCCAGGGACGTAGAGTTCAGTTGAGACACGTGAACGGGTGAGATGAGAGATAGGGGCCGAGAGAGTCCAGCGTACAAGCTAGGAGCAGATGAACGAAGAAGGGGGAAAGATATATATGTCCAGGTGGGGAGAATCCATGCATGCGGGCAAGAATGTTCAATCCATTTGGGGACTGCAGGACATACTTAAATGATGATGATGGTGTTGCCATTTCCCGCCGGTCCTATGTCGACGCTAGTAGATGACCCTTGATGGCGGGTGGTGCCTGACTTTGTCAGGCATACCTGCTTGTCTCCAAGGCTGAATAAACTGGCGTGAATGGCACACTAGGTAGTTTAGTGGTGTCTCGGACAAAGATCTTTCAGTATTGGGGAAGGTGTAATAACTCAGATTGGCCGTAATTGGCTGGATTACGGGCGACATTTAGGCAGCAGGGCGGCCGAAGCTCGTCCTTCAGCCCTACGAGCCCTGAGTCCGATGCCAACAATTCGGTCAACGAGTGATGACCACCACACACCTACGGGGGCCGGCCCCATCACAGCCCGTCACATCTCCATCTATATTGGTGGCTGCGCTTCCAGATTGGGCTTTCAGGATTCGCTGTCCCACGAAGCACAGGTTGCGACTGCCCGCCCTATTACCAGTCGATCCTACCTGCCTTAGTCTTGAATCTATCTACACGCCTCCGGAGTGTCTCGGTGGCATAATGACCCCTGCACTCGCAAAATCTGCCATTCAGAAGGGTCCAACGGATGTCCCTCGAGCAGGTACCTAAGTACGCTCTCCGTGACACTCAATGAAACCTTCCAGTACGGGACCAAAGTCACAGAAGAAACTTGTATGAATTGAGGAAATGAGAGTTTATTTCGACACATTCACAGACATTTCTACAGGGAACCAATTCAATTGCTTCCAAGTCTTCCATCTCACGCGATTTAGACAGCATCAAGACAGGTCATGATGCGGAAGTATTGATTCAGATTGACCCATGGCCCGGTTATCAGTCTCCTAAATGCCCGTAATCCCCGAGAATCATGCTACAATTATCGAACAGCAAAGCAAGGCAGCATGCTAAGTCCAAGTGATTCCCTGCAGCTCACACATCCAGTCCGAATGACCAGGCTCATACACATCAGTCGGCCCATACTCACCTCCCTCCGCCGCATCCATATTACACACATTGACATTAAAGTTGCACAACTGCACCGGCTCCAGCCCAACGCCCTTCTCCGACACAGTCTCCCACGGGTTCGTCAACTGCTCATAATCATGCTTATCAAAGCAGTCCGTGGGCCCCTGCAAGATCTCCTCCTTGGTAAGCCCATACGTCTGGACAAGCTTCTCAGCAAGCCGGTGCTCGGGCACCTCATCATCGCTATCGTGCCTCTGGAACCGCCATTCAGTCCATTTGCTGTTCGCCTCTTGTCTGCACAAGATAGCAGCAGATGACCCATCACACGCCGTCTTATTGAAAGTGCGGATAATGTACACATTCTGTGCCTGCATCAGCAGCGCCATGGCGTTGACGCTGACGGTCTTGTACATCCATGTATCGAAATCGTCCTGAGTGATGTTCCTCTGGCGGGATAGGTAACCACCGCCGCTCAGGACCTTGTTGATACCCCAAGTCGGATCATCGATGGGCGCATCAATAACCTTCTTCGCGTACGTTCCGATCGCCTGCTTATACTCGTCCACTTTCCCGCCCATCTGGCTAGACAAGTCACTCCATCGCAGGAACTGACCGCCTGCGCTGGGCGCCAGCATCATTCCACCCGCAATGATGTTGCCGCCTTGGACGGTGCTGGCGATGCTGCCTGCGGTAGCGCCGAGTGCTGCCGTGGTCGGGAAGGCGTTTAGGATGCCGTTGACCCATGCCAGGAACTGTTTCATGGGGGTGACGTTGTCCTTTTTTGCTGGCCATAGGTCGTCGACTACCTTTGCGAGTTTCAGGCTTAGGATGGTGGCAGCGTACGTGACGGCGAGGTTGAGATTGTTGACGTAGTTGTTCCAGCCTTGGACGCCCATCAAAGCATACCTTGTGTTACTCTTTAGTACAAGAAGAAAGCGAATAGGACAGGAAGTTGGGCGTATAGCTTACCATCCGGGGAGAGTGACTGGTGTACACGGCTGGCCGGCGTTGCACCACAGATTGACTCCGCAAAAGAAGTTGGGAGCACCCAAGTACGCCCCCAAAGCTTGGACATTGTCGGAGGAGTATTCCGTATAGTGTTTCGCGGCGTTGGCCAAGAAGCTGTCGACGCCCTCCTTCTTCCATGTATCGCTCGAGAGTTGGCTAGGCACACAGTTCGCACGAGGAGTTACTACCGAGAGCAAGTCGGAGCCACGGCTAGACGGCGCCGCGTCAACATAGACACTCAGGTACCCAACGCATAATGCTCGCAAAGCTCGGAAGTGCATGATGGGCTACTGTCTCTGAAGAGTGAACTGCCGGCAGTTACTTTGAAGAATCGATATAAAGCTGTCTTGAGGTCGATGAAAAGCAGCTCTTGGACGGAAAGTGAACGACAAGAAATATGATCCTTGGCGGTGTGTTATCATTCGAGGCAGGGTCCTGGAGTTCAAGTGAAACATATAACCATCTTAAAGACCATACGATCAGTCTCTACGTTCACCGAGCAAGCTAATTCCTAGGACGTGCGGTTTATCGTCAAAATTGGCAGGCATCATTGCGTGATAAGGTGTAATCGAGCAAGGACCTCCTCTCATCTATTTAGACTTTGTTGCGATAACATTGATGATGATTGACTTGAACTTGAATCGTTCATGGTGCCTCGAACTCATAGCAGAAAGACTATTCGGTATAGGTAATGAGAGTCGGTCAAAGTTGTGATGAGTGCTTCATGGATAAGGTTCCCACTAAGCTTGGATCACTATGGGTCAAGTTCGGCGTTGCCGTTTGGTTCATGTTTCCCCATTCGACGATCTTCTGGGCGGTACAAGTGAAGATCCATCTATCAAAGTTTGCGGGAAAGTCTGCCAGGAATAATATAGAGAAATTGACAGGAGTATGGGCAACTCATTCAACCACTTGACTCCGCTATGGCGATAGCCACCGAGTACACAATTGGCTCTGGGATAGAATCGAATATCTAGCCGTTCTATTACTCGCAAATAACTATATCTTTCAGACACTGAGATGTGACTATAGACTCAAGACGTGATACTCTAGCTTGATACAGTTGTAGTTCTCTAGATGGAGTATCACCACAACAAAAAGACATCCAGCGCATTTCCAGTTGATATTGAAGTCAAAGAAGTCCACGACTTTCTAATTCTTCCTTCTCTATCTTTCAAATTTCCACAAACCTCTATCTATCCACAAACCGAACTCATCACACGGCACACACACGAGTAACGAACCATGAAACTCTCAATTCCCCTCCTCCTCGCCGCTTTCGCCACGCAAGCTCTCGCCGATAGACACCACTTCTGCTGGTGCGGAAGCGACCAAGTCCCCAAAAACGACCCTTGCCTAACACAAGCCGCCTGCGCCAGATACCCTCAAGACAAATTCTTCGGCGTCAAGGGCGGCGACCCGTCCGCACCGACGATATCGAAATGGAGCGAGAAGAAGGCGAAATGCTACAGCACGCGCGCGTGGCCCGTCATCCCGCATCCGTTTTTGGGCGGAAACGAGTTTGCAGATGCGTGCTTTGCCGCAGCGGCGGATCAGGCTGTCGTTGGTGCCTGTGATGTTTCGTCGGGAGTTAGGACGGGGGTTAAGTCGTATTGTTCTGAGCCTTTTGACTGAGAGGATGTGCGCTACTAGCTTTGAGAGGTAAGATGCTTTCTCAAAGATTAAACACTTGCAAGATTCTATCGAGGTAGTGGCTGACCTTTTTTGCCGTTCCCAGTCTTCTATGGACTCACACTCAGAATCGGGGGGGGCTGTGGGAGGGAAGAAACCACGCAGCTCGATCAATTATGGCGTTTCTTTCGAGATTTGGAAGTACCATTGGGATTAAAACTTTGCAAAATGACCTCTAGATATATTATTCAGATTGTTGTCTCATTTTAGCGTGAAAGTATTGATTCTCCTCGCAGTTCGTACAAATTTGTGACTGATCTCGATAATTGATGAAGACCACCAGTCTTTCAACTCAATGGGACAATTATGGTCACTAGCAACAATTGGACCGGCCGCCGATGAAGTAGTAAACTGAGTTTCAAGGACTATGGCTGAGTAAGTGCCACTCAGGAACAAGAAGCCCTGACAGTATCTTTTGAAGAGAGCTTCAGAACCATCGCCCTCAACCTCAAGTCAAACGCGAGCATGCTTCTAAGTGACGCGTTCGTCCTGATCAACAAGTGGCACCAGCTGCACGTGAACACCCCGCCAATCAAACCATGGCCCACACACCCCTGCCCCACTCTCCTTTATAAGCAGCCAACTTTCTTTCTCATCTTGCCTTCGGGCATTTGGTCAATTTGAAACGATACAGAGAAGATGTAAGCACTACCCCTGCACCCCTTGGGTTCGAGTCTGGAATCAGTCACTAACCTCCCTCACAGTAGCATGGCCCCTGCACTAAGGATGACACGCTCAATCAAAGAAAAGCTACCAATTTTTTTCTCGATTCCCTGGATCGACTTTCGGTTTGAATAAGTACCTACTATGAAGGAGGGCCAGGTGCGACCCAACCAACATCTCGGCGCCGAGTCTCTGCCAGGTCTTGGTCGTTTCCAATGCGTGCTTCCCTACCCCTACCATACCCGGATGGATGTCGGCTCACAGAGTCACAGCAAAAATTGGCGATTGCGCCAAACGGGATCTGGAAACGTTTTTTGGGCGCGCACTTGGTTCAGTAGTACACGCTATCCCTGCCACTCGGAGAAGATTAGTAACCAGGCCGCATCGACGTTGATGAGGTGCAGCATGCCATGATTCCACATCGACCACTAAAGTCACCAGTCACACACTCGCATTCGACAAGTAAACAACTTAATATTTTGTGTGAAGAATATCTTCTTCTATTAAACCAGTAGTAGATAACATTAAAAAATACTGAGAGGGCTGACCATGTATTCGCCGCCCGTACTTTGTAGCAAGACAGATTATGGTCTAGATGTGCTCAAGGACAGGATATCTAATAGTCTATAAGGAGCGTGGGTTGTGTCATTAAGTCGTAAAGCAGTGAGAAATGCAAACGGAATCATCAAACCCGTGGTACATGGTAAGCAGTCTCATGCCTGGGGCGCGGCAGTGCGCTTGGGCATCTCCATGTCCACGCCGCGGAAGCGCATGCCACGCTTCTTCTTGGATGAAGTAGTGCTGGTGCTAGTGGACGAAGTCTTCTTCTTCTTGTCACCATCATCAGACTTGCTGGTGGTGGTGGCCTTGGCGGTGATAGTCGAGCTGGCAGAAGTGACCACGGCGGAGGAAGTGACCACGGGGCTCGTGGTGCTGGCGACCAGAGTCGAGGGCGTCGCGCTCGGGGAGGGAGCATTGGTCTTGGTGGCCCAGTAGGCGTCTAGACGGCTCTCGACCTCTTGCTCGTTGTTGTAGGGCTGGAGCTTGGCCATGTACTCAATGCGAGACTTGATCGCTTCGTAGTCGGATGCAGCAGCATTTTCGTTCTTGGAGCGCCACTCCAACCCCATGGGGTCGGCGAAAGCTTCCTCTTCGTAGCCAAGATCCTCGAGCTTGGTGACGTTGAAGGCAGCCATCATCTCGTGGTCCTCGTGGATGAGGTTGTGGCAGTGGAACATGTACACACCGGGCCAGGGAGCGTAGTGGGCTTCGACTGTGACAGTCTCGCCGGGTCCGACCCAGACAACATCCTTGAGACCCTGTGACTCGTACGGGAAGACGGTGTTGCTGCGGCCGTTGACACGCTTGATGACACGGAAGTCAACGAGGTGGATGTGAATGGGGTGACTCCAGCCACCGGAGCTGTTCTCGAGCTCCCAGACCTCAATGGTACCGCGCTTGGGCTTGGCAAGAACGCGGTTGTTTACATCGGCAAAGATGACACCGTTAATGCGCCAGTCACTGCCGGTGCGGTGGAACAGGAAGTGCTGATCAACGCCGGCCTTGTCCTTGGGGAACGGCACGGCGCGGAGGGCGGAGGGGACTTCGGACTTGTCGTTGACCGAGTCTTCGCTGACGACAAAGCGCATGACTTTGTCGGTGTGCAAGTAGTCAACATCCGCGGCGAAGCCTCTGGTGTTGCGCATGGTGACGTTCTCGCCCTTGTACTTGGAGAAGTCGATGACGATCTCGTAGCGCTCGGCCATGGAGATGTAGAGATCCTTGACCTTCTGGGGTCCCGTCAAAAGGCCGGCATCGGAAGAGATGACTTCGAACTCGACCCTGTTGGCCTTGAGATCTTCGAGGTAGAGGAAGAATGTGCGGGAAATGGCGGCATCGAGAAGACGGAAGCGGTATTTGCGGGGCTCAACCTTCAGATACGGCCAGGGCTGTCCGTTGACGTGAATAACGTCTCCGTACAAACTGGTCTGTTCGTTGGCAGGCGAGTACAGAGTACCATCAGAATTGTATTGCTTCGCAGAGAGAATCAGAGGAATGTCGTAGATGCCGTAACCACTGGGAAGCCCAAGGGAGTCTTCTGCAGAATCGTGAAGAATGTATGCGCCGGCTTGGCCAAAGTAGGCGTTCTCAGCAGTGTGGTCGATGGCGTGATCGTGGTACCAGAGGGTGCGCGCGTTCTGGTTGTTGGGATAGTAGTAGTCTTTGTACTGACCAGGGTTGAAGACGTCTTCAGCCCAGCCATCCCAAGGTGTGCGCTGAGCAAAAAATCGTTAGACGTAGTATCTCAAAGGTGGATGAAGAAGCCTTACCGAAGGAGAGCCGTGAAGATGAACGGAGCTGGCCATCTTGGCGTGGTTGATGAAGCGGACGACCGCCTCCTCACCACGCTCCATGAGGAAGGTTGGGCCAGGCGCTATGCCATCATAACCAACCAAGTTGGCCGGCTTGAGGTTGGGGTAGACTTGAGCGGTGAACTCCTTAACCTCAACCTCATAGTACCTGATCTTCTTCCCAGTTACTGGGTTGGTGATCGGCTGACTGGGGCTGCTGAGAGTTAGCCATGGGGTTTCATCCAAGGTGGCATGAGGCAGAACATTGGGCTTACTATCGTTCCTCTTTGGGAGGGGGAATCGGTAGCGGGAACTCGTAGAGCCATGTGTACGCGGGACTTTCCCAGTCCTTGGCGAGGGTATCAGAGGCAAGAGCCAAGAAGATGGCCAGAGACTGGCGAAGAGTGAGAGAGACCATGGCGGAGATGGAGAATGATATGCAGGGAAAAGAGCCAAGAAATCCAGTGCAAGTGACAAGTGTTGGCCAAGGCGGGTGGCGACGCCTTTATAACTGTCAAATGCTTGGAAGGAGATGAGTGCGATGAGACTGGTGGAGAAGATGTCCATTTCTCGGTACGAAACTCCAGTATTTATCAACTTACACGTTTCGTCTTGATCATAAATCTGGGTGGCCGAGGCGGCGAGACCATGGACCGCGGTACGGCGATCCAGTCCAATTTGACAAGACCCACGCCGGGTCCCAGGTCGAAAGCCACAACGACAGCGTTAGCAATGGTGTGAGCCGGTGAAGAGTAGACCTCAAGAAAATGTTTCCCGCACAGAGGCTGTCGGCTAGCCCATTGGGGCAAAAGCATCGCTAGTCTGAGCTGCTCTCCGTGACCAGCAATACCCTTGAGATGGGTAGGCTGACGAGGGCGGGCTGCAAGCTCAATGGCCGACTTACAGTCCTTGAATCTGGACCGCGTCGTTCGGTGTCGGTGGGGCATATCGTTGTCTATGCATGCACTCCAAGGGCAGATTTCTGGACGGTGAAGATAGCAATCCAACCTAGAAACACGCGATAGATGCAACTCTCTTATCCGAGTATGCAGAGGGGGGGCTTAGGCCACCGACAACCCAGAATCTTAGTTCAGCAGGAGCAGCAGCCCACGGAATGATCGAGCTAATGTCCAGCACGTGCGATCTATTCGATTCCTCCAAGGTGGCCCATCTACGACCTCGTGGATCAAAGATATTGATGAAGAAGTCAACGGCCAGCAGCGAAAGCCATTCGGATCCAAGTGCCCAACGTCGAATTGCCTTCCGTGGTTGGTTCAACGAGCAGGCCATCAATCTGAGCGCCACTTTCGGGTAGCGCACCATTTGATGCATGAAATTGTAAGAAAAGCGTTTGCCGGCCGAGCACGGGAGTTCAACCTAATGCTGGTCAAGACAATATGGGCAGGCTGGGAGTTGGCGCTAGGTGTCAAGGCCATAGAGAAATGGATAGTGCGGCTGTTCAGTCAGTCTAGATCCCTTGTTCTTGAATCTAGTGTGGCGATTTCAGCCTTAGAACCTTCGACAATGCGAGATATCAATGGCGCGAGCCTATTAAGTTGAAACGAGCCACTGAGCGAGCACCAAAAATGGCCCAGCGAGGTTATTCTAGGATCATGGTACCGGCTCGAGCGCCAGTACCGGTAGGCGTAGGAAGCCTGAGAGCTGATGTGTATCGAATAGACTGTGGAAGAAGATGTGACTCGGTCACTCGGAGCTGACATGCAAGAGGTTCCAGGGTACTGGGTCGATAGTCTGCAGGGTTGCAAGTTGACTGTATCATTGACGAATCGGACTTTGCGTTCCCCAGAAGACGGGAGCAGGGATGCTGCCCCGGACCAATGGCTTCGGAGTTGTGGAAGGGTGCATCGTATCTGGCTGGTCCAGCTGCAAGAACATGGGAGCTGAACAACTCGAAGTGGGCATTCTGTGCGACCCAAACGCTGTGGGCCTCCACACTGGCCTAAAATTGGTCTCTATCGACGCTCCGGCCGGCTCTGATCGGCTGCCGACTGGGCATCCTTTCCTCCCGATGGTGGAGGGGCACAACCTGGCTCATGCCAGCCCCATGTCATCCATGACAGGCAGAACTTTCTCGTTGGTGTCATCGAGCTGACAATGCTTAGCATACGGTGTCAACAGCCGACCTCAAGAGCTTGTTGAAGGCTGGTTGAAAGAGCCAGACGCAGTCATGCGGCACGTGATGCGATGTGGGAGCCGGAGGGAGGGCTGTCACTGGGACTAGAGAGACAGGCCAGGCCGACAGGACTATCGTACGCCACATTGTCGCGGCTGATGGATGCTGCAGAATGCTTATTTTTTCGATGATTTGACCATGATTCGACGTCGTCCCTTGTGGGTGAGATTTTTCATCCGACGTCTGCGCAGAGTGAAAAGCTTCATGTCGATATCGGATGGAGCGTTGAAGTTCGGACTATGCACATCGTCTGGACTCTGAAGGCCTAGCAGTCTGATCTCAGGGGTAAAAAGGAGAGTACGTGGGCAGTGTCCACGTTTCGGCCGGAAATGGAAAAGAGACGATAGGCAGGACAAAGCGTTGAAGTCGCCGGAATTGGCGATGAGGCAGAGGCAGAACGGGAGGAGGAAGACAGGAAGGGGAGGGGGGGGGGGGGGGGTCGAAAGAGAGAGAGTGCACCTTCCCCAAGTTGTCGGTTCCTGGAGCCCCGCAGTTTAGTGCCAAGCCGCTACCGTCGCTAAACTTTATTAGCGCTTCAGCCCGGACCAAGATGAAGCTTAAATATCTGGAAAACGATTGGCCCACAATGCCCAGTTCGCGTGGTCGGGGCTTCAGGGTCCACCTTAGTCAGGCGCTTGTTGTCCACCTCTGTTTCCATCGCCGCCGCTAGACGTTGAAAACCTCCGAGTAAACTCAACCACACCACATTCTCTGACCGTGTCCTTCGGCGCTTTGTGCTCGTATACCCCAGGCTGCCACCTCGTGAACCTGACAGCGAATCATTCATCCGGCAATCGTGGGGCCCAGGACTCCAGCTACCCAAACTGCCGGGTCACGAACAATGAGACCACACGAGCGGTTCCTTGTCCTTGTCCTTGTCCTCCTCCAAGCCGAATCTTCGAGCCTAAGACAATGACAATGTCTCGAAGCCCCCAATGTTCCTCGTTTCACGCCAAACGTTGCGTATACGATGAAAAGCCTGTTCGAATGGTTGTCAAAGGACACGCATGCGACGTGCTCTCGAATCTTTGCTCAGTCTTTGTCGCTTGGGCCTAACTGTCGAACGGCTGCCGGTCAAGCTCCCATGCCAAGACCCTGGACTGACTGAAGACTGCCTCAGTTGCTTTTCGCCTTCCAAGAAAACTATCTGGTGGCGGTAGACGGTTTTCTCGTGGCGTTCCGCTGTCGAGTGGCCTCCTCAGCTTCTGCAGGCCCTCATCTCCTCATCCTGTGATCTACCAGCTATTTAGCCCTCTGGCTGATAAATCATGACTATCCAACCGGGATTCTCATCTTCGCACAACTCGGTGTAATATTTGTGGAGATCTGCATAGGACTACTGACCTGAAGTCGTATCTCTAGTTCCTCGTGCATGGACCGGCATACGGCCAGACCAACCTCAGTATCGTGGCTTTGTCGGCCTCGTCGGACCTCGCGATCCCGGTCTCTATTGCATACTGCATATCATAGCTCGTGCATGTACATTGCCACATGCACAAGATCCTTCCACACCATCTGTCTATTCTGGATTTATCCTCTCGTTTCGAGTCAGCTCGCCTAGCCTCATGGGGTTATCAAAGGAATCACCTCTCGGGTCCTAGTTCGCTACGAAGCCATGTTCTAGACCATTCGTGCTTTAGCTGCCAAGCCCCTCGGTCCCCGCGCATCCATCTCGGGTTTCGAGAATATGGAAACTATTGCAGGGAGACACGAGCTCGGCTAACCTTTCAGAAAGTATTCATAAGTGCCGGGTTTTATCGCGATATCTCCATCGACATGAGGCTATCGACCACTCTCATTCCTCACAGTCTGATATCTGGCAAAGTGATCTAGCCAACTCAGACGTGTCTTCATCATGAATATGGCAAAGACAATCTTCTACGCGGCCTTGAGCGCTTCGCTCTCTTTCACATCTGTGCAAGCACAGGTTGCGGACTACCCATTTGACATTAACGGAGCTTTTGAGGGGTCAGTATACTTTCCTCCAGTGATAAGACAGTCATGAGCGAACTTCATACTGACGGAGAGAGTGCAGCGCTTCTGCCATCACAACAGACTTTAACACGGGTGGCACCTTCAGATGCAATGGCCACGCTATCACTGTGCCCAAGAATCTTCAAGTCACCTTCCCCGCGGCCTTCATCCCGTTCAGGGAATTCGTCGGTAGCAGTGGTGGTTACACTGGCTACAACTGCGAGGTCACCGGCAACGTCGTCAATGGAGTTCCCATTGCTGCCCAAGTCTCAATTGCACAATCGCTGCTAAGCGGTGCCTCTGGTTTCGTTGACAGCGTGAACAACGATGGTCGGATCAAGTTGACGGACGGAACCACCATCCGCATCAACGACCCCAACGCCATCTACTCCGTCGGATACACCGCCCAGCCTTTCTTCACTGCAGATGATGCCAACCCGAGTATCAGCTCTTTCTCTGGCTTTCCCATGTGTGTTCCGCGAAGCGCCGCCGATGCTCTTTGCCCTCAATCCAACAGACCTGATGTCGCCCCGGGCGTTAAGCAGGGCCTTTTGTAAGTCTTGATAACCGCCTTGTTCCCGATGCAATCTAACACATCATCAGCAAAGCACCCGACGCCCTCGTCATGGCCCCTATCGTAGCGGGCGATTTTGTCGAGTACTCTGGTGTTCAGTCCGGGGGCGAGATCATTGTTTACAACCTCGTCGTGAGCAACGTCCAAATAACCACTACGGGTGTTCCGACATACATCCGCATGGAAGATGCCAACATTGGTGTTTGGACCGCCGACACTGTCAACCAGGAAATCGCACAGACCAGAGTAAGTTCCCAAGCTGATGCCCCCCGCATCTTGATGTGCCCACTCAGCTAACACATCGCAGTTCGTCGGCTACACATCTGACTCTGCCGCAAACGTCAACCCAATCAAGATCTACGCCATTGAGTACGACCCGTGCACCGGCGAGGCCGTCGATCGTGAGATCGCGGGCGTGAGCGTTCCCGGCACTGAGGTCCGTAACAAGTTTGAGTACCGCATCAAGGCGACCCAGAACGACAACTACGCCCGCGAGTACCGCGTCGTCGCCGGCACCGGCACCGTGAAGACCAAGAACGGTGTCCTGGCCGGCCAGTACGTTATGCCTGTCTCCGAATGGATTCAGCCCGAGGACTCTGTTCCCGGCCGCCCTCCTAGCCCGCATGACTTCCGCAGCTACGCTTTCCTCACCAAAGGGCTGGGTCGCGATGCCGACGGTAACCTCTGGGGCCCGCTGAACCCTTTCCCCCAGACTGGCGCTACCCTCTACGATAACTCCAAGTGCCCAGCCGCTACCACTCCTACTACCGGCACTGGCATCACCACTACCCCTGCCACTGCTGCTAGCAGCTCAGCAGCGGCCGTCAAGTACAAGGATGTCGTGACGATGCCCACCTTCAACTGGGTCTCGTCTCAAAGCGGCACCCTCACCGTCGGCTGCCAGTCCAACAGCACCGACGACGCAGCGGTCGCGATGAAGCTGAGCTACACCAACAAGGACGGCACCACCACTGGCCTCGCCATGACCTCCGGCGGCAAGGGTCTCTGGAACTTCAATAGTAACAAGATCAAGCAGCCCACAACTGGAACGGTCATTTGCAAGAGTGGTCTTGGCGGCCAGGTGGCGCGCTGAGGTGCTTGACAGGAAAGTTTAGCTGCTAATCTTTGTCGTTTTGTTTGGGACTTTAGTGCGCGACACCTTTTAGATTTCGATTCCATATTAATGAATGATGACCACCATTGTAATGATTTGCCCAGTCTCTGTGTTGATACTTTACCATATGAGGATAGTCACGGCCGAAAGCATCAATGCCAAGACATTTCTATAAGTAATGAGTAATCATCACGGCCAAAGGAGTATATCGATGATCAAAAATGTCAGCATAGGTCAGGGGAGGGCTCGGACAGCTCCAATTTACGAACGAATCGGCACGTCTAGAGTTTGTTTAGAGTCCCCGCGAGTTTGAGAAGAGGAAAGGATAGCCGACTAAGTCCATACTTAGTGTCGCGCTTTCGAGTCATTCTTGACGAACGGTTAGCGTTTGGTGGAGATGAATGGGAGAGCGTGTAACGTTTGGAGCCCTAAAGCGAGACGAGCTAACCGAATACTTCTTGGCTGCTCCGATGATGTGCGGCTGAAGGTGAAGGGGTTCTTTGGACGATGTCAGTTACCAAGTCTCATTGTTTGGGATAGAGGTTGAGGTCTGCTTGTCACAGCCTTGTCCTATCCTCTCCTTACTTTCTCTCACGTAAAGTGTGTTCATTCATTTTTTTAATTCCTGGTCGTTTTGGCAAATAAGGTGTGTGCACTGGTTTTATAAGTCGTATCAAATCAATCCATAGCACTGCAAAATTTGGAACGATCTTCGCAGAGCAAGATACCCGAGAACCAGTCCTAGTATTCATAAATTCTGTTGCTGGGCAACAGTCTTCGTTCCCTCTCGCTCCAGTGCTAGACTCACTCTCTTCGCCGGTGTATAGTATATGTTGGCCCTAACAGCTTCATTTACTCGTGCCGTCGGACTTCTTCTTAGGCCAGAGGTACTCATTCCTAGCCAAGATGTGGTCGGGCACTTGGGGAGGCTTGTCGCCGCGTGGCGGTGCAGGGTCGATATTTCTGAATTCCTTGTGATGGGGAAGCTTTGGGTCAGGTCCGGGATGAAGTACTTTCCGGTGGTTGTAGCACTTGAAACAGAGGTGGAAGTCGGGACATCTCCGACAGCTATGTGCGTCTAATATGAGGTGCTACTCACATTATGCAAGGCATTAGCAACCCGTCGCTTAGACACATAACGCAGACAGCTGTCTCCTTGTGCTGAGGTGGTGCAAGATGTAGATAACACATACCGATAGACAACAAGAGTAAACCAATTCGTCATGTTGATAGCCCGTGCTCGATAATGTTATTCCTCCAAAAACATAATCGACATCCTCGGTATCGCTTGCTTCCAACAGAATGTCGATGATATCTTTCCCGCTGTCATGCAAATAGGCGATTTCCAATGGGCACCACGTCACGTTGGGGAAGTCAGTCCTAACCTTGACTCGGCCATCAGCGCCGCTCTCGAGGAGGTATTTGATCACCTCTAATTGGTAGTGATTATCCTTGTTGGTAAACTTGTATTTCGAGGTTAGACCTCGAGCAGCCCAGCACAACGCTGTCCAGCCATCGTTGTCGGCCTGGTCGACCTCGACCTTCCCCGATGAGAGGATCTTTTTGACGGTGTGAACATCTCCGCTTTGAGCAGCCCAGTGAAGAACAGTGTGACCGGTCTTGTCCGCAGAATTCAAATAGTCACCTCCATCCGTGGGAAGTTGGAGGGGGTGTACAAGGGAACCTAACATTCTCGAGTACCTGCCAGACGAGTGAATGGCTGCGAAGTGAATCGGTAGACGACCCATCTGGTCAGCAATATTCGCATTCGCCTTGAATTTGCGTGTAAGAATTGTTGATGTGCTGCTCAATGGCAGCTGGCAAGCTAGGTTGAGTGCAGTGCCGAAGAACCCGCACTGTTGATTAATCTCTGCTTCAGCCTTTGTCACGAGATATTCGATAATCTTCTCGGTTTCGGATTGAAGCACGCCTTTCTTACCGAAGCACGCAGCCTGTAAGGCATTACCGAAGAAGCCTTTGGAGATAAAGTTCGCGTCCGCGCCACATTTCTGATGAAGGAACTCGACCATTGACAAGTTGCCGTCATAGCATGCTTTGTTTAAGACCGTACCAAACTGAGAATTGTCTAAGTTGACAACTGCACCTCCGCCAATCAGTTCCAGTATCGTTGCATTGCTGCCTGGAATTCCGATAAGGTTGATCAGCGGCGTGCAACACCTCTTGGAGCAAGTAACATTCATGTTGGTCTCGGCCTTATATTTAATAAAGCGCCTGACTTGGAACTCAAGACAATGTTTTATCCGGGTAAAATGTAGAAGAGCCGTATTTCCATGGTCGTCGACATAGAAGTCATCCCAGTCGAATCGCCTGAGGTGAAGGATGCCTTTAATGTCTTCATCGGTGTAGGGGCGACGATGCAAAGCGAGATTTCCCACTCCACCAGGAAAGAGGCTTGCGCCTTCTCCAAGCGACTGCGAGCTTAAGCTTCCTGCGCTCGTATTGGAAGGCGACGGAGAGGACATAATGTGAGCCTAAAGTTGTCGAAGACGTCAAAGAGGTCGTTTTGCTTTTGTTGTTTTGGAGGGACGGTGAGCTATGTTGGCAAAACTACTAGTAGAAAAGCTGATGAGGTTGCTGGTGGGAAGAAATCGTGGGAAACGACCAAGCACTTTAAATACAGTGGAGTAAACGATGCAGGCACGAAGAAGCTTTATTGTTCACTCGTGAAAGGTCTGCATTTGCGTAGCACAGAAATAGGCGGTAGCAATTTGGCTCTGTTCTTCTTCGGCCCTAAGCAGTCAATCTGAACATCCAACGAAGAGGTGAAGAAAGCCAAGAGAAAACGCGAGGCCAGAGGAGAGTCACCCTCTCAATTGAATTGAACAGTCAAAGATACTAGCAAGCGATAGCGGGGACGAGACAAACTCCAAACCTCAGTTGACATTGCATCCGTGTTGCTAGGTGAATTGAATTGGATAGTTCCTTTGTCAATCCAGGTAGTACATGGTAAGGTGGCGTGGGTGGGTAAAGGGTTGCTAAAGGATGAACCTCATATTGATCACCACAATACAGAGTGTCCCCGTTCTGTCACCGCCACCATAACAGAATTCCTTCCCGTACAGACTCAATTGTTCGTAAGTTGGTGTTTCCGAGGCATGTGGCGGTTAAGACAGCCTGTTTGTCCTACTTGAAGTATTGGCCCTTGAATCCCGGCAGAATCTCCTGTCCTTCAGAATTCTGGTAGCTGACCCCTTTCCTTTGCTGCCAAGTCTGCTTGAGGGTGGTAAACTCCCCCATGGTCGGCACCGGGTGGCCTCCCGCCTCGAACTCGTTCTGAGTGAAGCCTTCGCGCTTCAGCACTGGCGAGTCAATCGTCTTGAGTACGAGGTCGTTTTGAGGGCGGGCAAAGTACAACAAGCCCAGGCGATCGACATGGCGCTGGTCTTTGGGCGGCACGGATACCTGACGTGCAAATCAGCCTGCTGTACAGGGGCATAGGAGGGATGGGACTTGACTCACCCGATGAACTGTGGACTTGACGTAACCGCCCGTTAGGAAGCTGAGGGCATCGCAGGTATTGACAGTCAAACTACCATCCAGCGGCTTGGCCCATTTCCAGTCGCCGGTCGCGTGATCTCTGATTTGTAGAGCAGCAACAGGTTGACGAAATAGCAATGTAATCGTTCCCAGGTCAGTGTGACCACGAGACCACAAGCCATCATCGAGCTGTTTGATTTCTTCCGGGGTGAACTTTGAATACTTCATGTAACGCAGGTGGGACTCATCGTGAGTCTCCCATTTGTGTACACGCGTGAAAAAGTCCTCAGGTAGCTCCAAAGCCAGAGCGATCAGGTGGTTCAAGGGGTCCAGCACCTTATCATGCAGATTCTACAGCCGGCATCAGTAATAATTCCTCCGCTTAAATGTACGAGGGCCATTGCATACCTTTGCAAATCCTTCAATCTCTTCCTTGCGATCTTCCAATAGCTTGGGTAGAGGTTGCGTAATGTGTCCTGCGCGGGCTGTTGGGGGTCCCCATCAGCAACCATTCCTTGATCCTAGATAATCGCGGCAAGATTAACTAGAGACTCACTGGCCATGTTCCAGACTTCCGTCTTATCCTTGAGACCACCGCTCAAAAATCGCCGACCAGCGGGACGGTATCCATTGTAGTCTCCAGAATCCAAATTCGGCTCGTACTTGAGTTTCTCGTCCAGGGGTAGCTCGTAAAACTTCTGGCCAAGAGCAAACTGCGTATCAACTGCCTCTTGAGAGATGCCGTAGTTTACGACGTAGAAGAATCCCTTGGTGCGAATTGCCTCGATCAATGTCTCGGCAAGCTCCTTGTTGCCCTCAGGTGTTCCATACTTGGCAAGATCAATGGTGGGAACTTCGGGTAAATGTTAGCTTGCAAGACCCGCAGTGTGTTGTATCAATACTTGGAAACCGAAGACTTACGGTCAGCCCAATCGAGGTTTTCCTCCGTCTCTGGGACGTGGGTGTATTGGTACAAGTCGGACACAGCAGATGGCATTCTGGGCGGTGAGGCGGGGTATCCTTTGCTCAGAGGTTAGGTGATCTCTGTCTAGGTTTTCTCCAACACCCAAGCCCAGGTTCCAAGCTCGCCATTTTAACTGTAAGCCTTTACTGCGACTCCGGACGGCTTCACGCCGGATCTCGCTTCCCGTATTAGTCGAGCCAACACGGCAGGGCAACGTCTCCGCAGGACTTAACCCCCGCCAAATCCTCAACCCTCAAGAGACCAATAGTACCAAGTTGATTTGGTTTCATCCCTCTCCATGGTGTCACACTCGTAATTTACCCCGCGGCATCTACCAAGCAACACGATAAATCTACTTGGTCGAGGCACTTGGAGATGCGAGATCGCCGCATGTCATCATCTGATAACGGATGGCGCAATCCCTACCCCCGTCGCACGTAGTCGGGCTTTTCCCGCCACAGAACCGACGTTTGCGCCGCAGAGAACGGATTCAAGCCAGTGTAGAGAATCCACTCGGTAGTATTTCTCCGGTCTTTGACGTTCGGAAAACCACCGAGTTCGGCGGGAGGGGTGGGTGAGGGTTTGGCCGAACTCACGATCTCGTTGTCGCATCGGAGATTATTGGCTCTTGTTTGAGTTACTTTACCCGCTATCCCGCATCTTTCCCCGGTAAGCATGGGCACTCGTCATTCCTGCCACTATGGCGAATAGTGGGCGAGGCTCTTGTGTGATGCATAGTCGGGTCTCGGCGGGTGTTGTACTACCTGGCGTGAGAGTTGAGCTTATCGCGGGCAACAGGCCGCGGCGGCTGGGTGCCACAGGTGCTTACAGACTACAGTAGAAGCACGTCTTGTGGGTGGCAAGCATTTGCTAACACTTTGACATAATATCAAGACAGAGAAAGGAACATAGACAGGGGGCGAGGACTTTTCCATCTGGTGATAATATATGTAAACCACTACCGACAGCGAAGTGCCGACTTTGGCGTCTGCACGTACATCGCAAACGAGAATCCGGTAAAGTCTGCTGAGAATGGGGTCTTTCGCTCAAGCAGTGAAGAAAAACAAGATAGGGGCGGTGGTTTTATCAGTATTTGACTGGTACCGTGAGTATTCGACGACATTGCATCTTACACAAGGCAGTCACTCACGATCGTTGAACAGCCTCCCACTATCCTGCAGAAGAGCGGAAGCTGTTGCGGAAACTCGATCTCGCCATTTTGGTGTTTGGGAGTCTGTCTTGTAAGTTATATTGCTCTCAGTCGGTCAATTCTGAGCACGTCTAACTCATGGTCTTATCACTCTTAGTCTTTTGCAGAGTATGGAGGCCTTACGCACGCTTACTCCTGGATTCATGAGAGCTAACCGCCAGCAGTTCCTTGGGCAACAAAATGTCACCAACGCCTATGTCTCAGGCATGCGTGAGGATCTTGATTCTCATGGCAACGAGCTGAATTACTATGTCGTTGCTTGTAAGTAACTATTCAGACACCCAACGACCTGCACTGCTGACCTCTTTAGACAATACCGCATACGTCATTGGACAGATTCCGCTCATGACTCTACAAACCAAGGCGAAAATGTATGTCTGATAATTCGACACCAACCCAGATCATGTAGCAAGTTGCTGATTAAGAGACTATAATACAGAGCGCCTTTCTTACTACCTTCCCTCCAGATTATCTGGGCAGTCATTGCCTTTTCTCAGTCTACAATTAAGCATAGTTGGCATTTGTACATCCTCCGCGCTGTCACAGGCTTTCTCGAAGCTTCCTCATTCGGCGGCACTCATCTCATTTGTAAGAATACCTGCTGCAATCCATTCCACAAATACGCGGAGAGACTGACCGAAAATAGTGGGCAGCTGGTTCAAGAACGAGGAGCTCTTCAAGCGAGCTGGAGTGTGGTTTATGGGCAATTCCCTAGGCTCTATGTTCTCCGGTTACCTACAAGCTGCTGCGTATCGAAACCTCAATGGCGTCTTTGGGCGCGCAGGTTGGCGATGGCTCTTCATCGTTCAAGGGATCATCACCTTGCCCATATCCTTCTTAGGTTTTGCGTTCTGGCCTGGTCTGCCCACCTCTCCCAAGAGGTGGTACTTCTCCGCGGAGGAGCATGCCCTTGCTGTTAAGCGAATGCCGACGGTCGAGCAAGAAGGTATTACATGGAAGACGTTCAAGTATACGCTCTCAAGACCAATGTGGTGGATTTGCGTTCCCTGCTACATGTGAGTACACTGGAAAATATTCGAAGTGAAATCTCAGTCTGACACAACGCAGCTTTCTGTGCCAGGCACATTACTGGACAGGTTATATGGCTTTGTGGCTAAAGGCAGCTGGCTACTCTGTTGAGTTGGTGAACATCTTGCCGACTTTCATCGACCTTCTACGCGCACTATCTTCGTGGCTTGGAACTACGTTGGCGGGCTGCTTGAGTCTTAGAGGACTTTGGTCTTTTCAAGCTGTTAGTGTATCTTTGAGCCAAGCCGGCGTGGGCAATTGGGCTAATATCTCACAGTCATTTGTCCTATTCTCATGTATTGTCCTGTCGATATGGAATGTCCCCGACATTCTCAAGTTCCTCGCATTCTATTTCGGAGGGTTTTCTGGAATGGCATCTCCGATCTTGGTATATCACCCTCGGTGCTGCGATAGACTCACTAAGCTAACAAAAGCCCATCAGTATTCCTGGTTGAACTCCACGCTCAAAGAAAACTATGGTGAAAGAGGACTCATCATCTCTTCAATGATGACTCTCGGATTCTGTGGACAAATTTGGATCCCTCTCTTCACTTTCCCAACTGTAGAAGCACCACGCTATCCCCACGGATATCCCGCAGCTACAGTGTTCGAAGTTGCAATGTGGGGTTTCCTCATGTTCGGCACTTGGTACATGAAGAGATGGAAGCACAAGCACCCTGATCTGGAGATGAGGCTTGCAACCGAAGGAGCAGCCGGGGAAGGCTCTTCAGTCATCGGATCTGACTCCGATAGACCCGATGGTGATGGTCCGGCTCCCCAGTACACGGGCAAAGGGGAAGAGGTCGTGGCCACTCAACCTGTGAGCCAGAAAGGTTGAGAGACGTTCTAGAGACTAGAAGTCAAGAGCGTGCAATGAATGTCTTATGAACATCGCAAAGGCAGAGGATTTGGCCGTGTTACTTGATGGAGGTACGCAGGTGTAGATCGAAGATCTGTAAATGAAACATACAAGACGATTTGGTTTAGCGGCTTAAATTGCCGGGCATATGTAGAGACAGGCAATACTTCAAGTGTAACGTAGCCATTCAGCGAAAGGCGGCAATCTGGACTTCGAAGCTCCCACAGCCTTATGTACTCACGCAGAGAAGTAAGTTATCTCGAGGATGTAGCGGATGAAATGCCTGGTTAAACAGCCGAGCTGTTCAGTCTTTTTTATCTCAAGCGATTGAGTTTGTGTCTCATTGTACAAATGCAATTGTGCTACATAAAAAGCACAATTAATTATTTATGCTTAAATCCGGCCATTGATTTGTTTGTTGAGAGTTGAGACGGTACTTTGGCCAGACTAACCCAATTAGGCAGGCTGCGAATTGCGGCGGTCTGACATAAGACCGAGGTGACGCGCCTTTAAGAATGTCAATTGCGTTTCGTTTCACTTTGCTTACCTACTCTCAGTTAATTACCTAGCAAGCGGCTTCGTCACGTCGCATGTGCCTGGAATACACGCTCTCATAAAGAGCCGACCAAGCCGGGAACTTTCATCTTGTAATTGTATTGTTCATACAAATACAGCCGCACATTCCCACGCCGTCAAGATGGCGCCAAACCAGAAGCCGGCAACTGGCGACACCTTCAGCAGCGACGCAACGGAGACAACTCCGTTGCTCATTGCCGGCGATATCGCTCCGACTGCCGATCCTGATGTCTCCAAGGCCACGACACTCAATGAGCCATCCCAACAGAATGACACACCGGACGAGGATGATAAGCCATTGCCGGTATGGCAAGTCTTTTGGCTTTGCTACGCTCGACTCGTGGAGCCCATGGCATTCTTCTGCATCTTTCCTTACATCAGTCAGATGGCCGAAGAGAACGGCCACCTCGCCAAGGCGGACGTCGGTTTCTACAGCGGCCTCATTGAGTCCCTCTTTTCCCTGACTCAGGCCGTTGTCATGATCTTCTGGGGTAGACTCTCTGATAGAATCGGCCGTAAGCCAGTTCTTGTCTTCTCACTCTGCGGTGTTACCATCGCCACGTCCATCTTCGGCATGGCACAGACCATCCCGCAGATGATCCTCTTCCGATGCCTAGCAGGCGTCTTTGGCGGATCCCTCGTCACGATGCGCACCATGATCGCCGAGCACGTCACCCAGAAGACGCAAGCTAGAGCGTTCAGCTGGTTCGCTCTGAGCGGCAACCTTGGCATCTTCTTCGGGCCTCTTCTCGGCGGAGCCCTTGCCGATCCGGCCCATCAGTATCCGAGCGTCTTTACAGCCCAGTTCTTCTTCGACTATCCTTACGCACTATCCAGCTTCTGCGTTGGCTTCATTGGCTTGACGGCGACAATCACTAGCATACTGTTTGTCGAGGAAACACTGGTCAAGGAGAAGCACAGCAGCAACGACGACGCAGCGGCACCGCTCAAGAAGGACAAAAGCTCTATCAAAGGAATCGTCAAATCACCAGGCGCCTCCAATGTCCTCTTCGCATACGGCTACCTCATGCTTCTTGCATTGTCCTACACGGCCGTAGTTCCTGTCTTCTGGTTCACCCCAGTTGAGCTTGGCGGTTATGGCTTCACCCCTCTGCAAATCTCCGTCATGATGTCCGTCAACGGCATCGCCCAAGTGTCATGGCTCCTCATCATCTTCCCGCCGCTGCAGCATCGCATAGGAACCAACGGCGTGCTGCGTGCATGCGCCTACGCTTATCCTTGGTTCTTCCTCGTCTGTCCTCTTGGAAACGTCGTCCTGAAGCTCGGCGTACACAACCCGGCCTGGGTGACGTTCTTCTGGGTCTTCATGCCCATTGCTTTGACCATCGGCAGCGGAGTGAGCATGAGCTTTACTGCAATACAACTATCATTGAACGACATCTCGCCTAGCCCTCGAGTTCTGGGAACGCTCAATGCTTTGGCGCTCACCGGAGCGAGCGTAATCAGGGCTTTTTCTCCGGCCTCGTTCACAAGTCTGTTTGCCATTGGTGCTAGGACTCAGGCTCTAGGCGGTTACGCAATCTGGGTGTTGATGATTGCGCTCGCAGCTGGGCTGATATTCGCTGTGAGAAACCTCTATGGGCCAGAGGATTTGAAGAAGGCGAGAGAACAAGAGCAGGCCGAGTCGTCTTAGGCAGGCTTAGATAGATTCATATCAATCTATCGTTGCAGCGTTCTACATGAATAGATTTCTATGCCCAGGGCAATAGAGCAGTTTCTCATAGAAGCATCTCTCGAGATTGCGTGCAAAGTGAACAACCCTCCTGGTTACTTGCTCATGGGATACCCGCAATCAAATCGTGTTGAACGTTCAATCTTGGGTCAGGGCCTTCGTCTAAGAATTTTGAAGATTTTGCTCCATCAGCATAATTATACTAAGTAATATTACAGGTTATTCACAAAGGATATATATTTATATGGGTATTCCGCCAGCGTCCGTCTCGTTATATCCCCGACTTCCTTTTCCTGTTAAAATCAGGCAAGACCGACTCCGGTTCTACCGGCTCCGTCGTTATCTCCACCTCACGATGCTGCCATATCCTGTTGTCCGAGTGGGGATACCCCGAATTGCTCTCTTTCGAGATCTTCTTCCCGTGGTAGTGCTCCCTCGCACTCATACCCGCTTCATGTTCGGGGAAACTGTCCCTAGCCGGACTCCGTACGGTTACGCTGACTGTGCTCTGGGGCATCAGCTCGACGTCGTTTGAGCTTCGGGAGCTACGGTCGTCGTCGCCTCCACCCATGGTCCGGAGGCCGATGCCGTACTTGGACTCCTCCCGGAAGTTTGGTTTGGCATTGGCTTCGGGAAGCTTGGACCAGTCTTTTGAGCCGTCTCTGGCGTGGGAGGCATTCCCGGATCGACCACCGCCGATGGTCATGCCTGCTGACCGTCCCGTTGACTTCTTGTTGGAGGAGGACGGGGCGTACCTGTCCAAACCACTTCGTTGAGCGGAGTCGAGTAGACCCTTCCATAGCACACGTACGATGGGACCCTGCGATTCAAGTTAGCCACAATGTCATCAATATCGCTGTAATTAAACCTACAAGAGTCGGCAAGCAGGCGGACACGATGCCACTGCTAATCTCAATGATGTTCCATGCCAGACCTTGAGCCAATGAGTCTTTCATCGCCATGTTAGCACGAGCGCATTCGGAAGCTTTTTACAGGCCAGACTTACAAGGAACATCATTTTTCGTGTATAGCAAGAAAATTCTGAAGCGGTAGACACTACAGAACACAACATAGCTTCCAAGCAAGAAGGTGAAGAGAACCAAGATTCGTTGAGCCTTGTTCATTTGTAGTTTCAAAACGTGGGGAATCGGAAGATAGAGAATCGCAATGTCGACAATGATGCTCGGAACGGCGATAGCAAGTTGTGTTAAGAACAGGTTGATGCAAGTACCCGGCTTCCACGGTTCCCAAAGGGTGTTCAGGGGCAGACACTGGATGGAGGCGGCGACGACGCAGGCAAGCGTCCAAAGCGACGTCAAGCTGCCGCATATCCATGCTCCCTTGCGTACCTCTCGCATTGGGAAAATTCGCAGGTATAGTAACAGTAGTGCTACTTTGTACACGTTGACTCCGTTGACGTACAGAATCTCGGCACCGATCATGGTCTGCAGAGATGATGTTAGCTGAGTCCTCACGACCAGAGAAGTAACTTGATGAGTGCTAGGAGATGTGAATGCGTACCTTGTCGAGAAACTGCAGCTGCTCTAGTGTCAGACGGCCCGAATGTAGTCCAATACCAGCATCAACCACTTGATGCAACTGTCAGCAAGGTCTCGTGCCCATGGCTTTCAACACCACTTACAGATCAGGTTCATGACCATGTTCCCAATCAACAACACCAGTGCAAACAACATCGTGTAATCATCTTTCAGGTACCTCGCACCCTGAAGGTGACGAGCCGTGAACCTCAAGCCAACCACAAATGCAGCAAAGACGGTAAAGGCGATGGTAATCCCTCGGACGTATGGACGGAGATCCTCGGAGAGGGTTTGATCTTCAGCGAAGTCGGCCAGCTTCTTCAGATAGTCTCTCTGGGGTTGATCGATAGTCGGATCGTCGTACGGGTATGTCGCCATAGTGGCTGCCATGACTGGTGGCTTGATGGCCACACGGGCTTTCGTTGAACAGCGGTCTGTAGGAAACGGGTCGTTGTCGATGGTGAGTGGAGGGGGTTACCGAGTAAACGGACGCAAGGGGGGGCGATTACACAGGCCGCACCACGTGGGGATGGGGAATCATTTTATTGCGAACAATCTTTGAGGAAACGCCAGATGCCTTCCTTGCCGCGGGATTTGCTTACACAAAATCTAGCAAGAGGAAAAAAGCAAAAACACGTGCGACGACCCCATCATCGTCTATCACGGCCGCGGGTTTCGGACTCTTGGACCCGTTCGTTTTGCCCGAACCACTGTTGCATTCCCAAACTGTCAATCACTTCTGTTTTGACATGTCATGTTTGACAAGTCAATCTGCCCCCATTGCAACTGCTACCTTGGGTAGGGGCCAGAAAGAGACAATGTGTGGAACTGCAACCGGAAGAAGCGAAGAAAAGGGGAGCGAGCCCCCCCGGCCAAGTCCCGAGGAGTTGTCGGGTTTGTCAATCTATGTCAGTTTCGAGGAGGAAACCCATGAGGGCTGTCCAGACATCTGTGGACTCTGAACAGGGTGGGATGTCGTAAGGAGGCTAGGAGTATAATTTGTTTTAGTCCTAGTCTCGTCTTTCTTCTTCCTCCGTCTTAAGCCCACACAAGCCGGCCCGCATCACGCTACTAATACTAGGAAGAGTTGTTGCCAACGTCCGATAGACTCGGATTAGGGAGAATGCTTCCGGCGCACGGCTCTCGTTCTGGGGTCTTGCATCCAAATTCGAGAAACCGTTGGAACTGATCCAGCGCTAGTCGACTAGTTCGAGAGGAATCCCCTCTTCTAGACCCGCCTCTAGCAACTAGGGCCCGCCTGCCATGCCCCTTGACGTCCGGGCACATCCATGCAGGCACAGGGTTAGCATCGACAGATCATCGCCAAAACCACGGCAATTGTGGCCTCTGCGCAGGTACCGGAAGAGCGCTGTTGAAGACGCGGATGGGGGCCGCTTTGAGTCAGCAACCCTGTAATCTGTAGCGTACTCGATTTCTCACGGTGGACCACGATTGCTTCCTGTGCGTCATTATCGACAAATACCCAGTGGAATATTGACACGAAGGATTCCCTTTCTTTGGGTATGAGGGGCAGGCTGAAATCGTCGGGAGATATAATACGAAGCCTGCCTCGAGCTCCCGAATCCTCGACTGCCGAGGTCACATGGAGAAGATGGTTGCAAAAGACCTCGGAAACTAAAGCAAACTACTTAGCGAGATGCCTGAACGTCAAAAGAAATGCTGAACAATGCAGAACGACGGCGCAGCACATGCTACCGAAGAACAGATCCTGCCACAAGCATTCTTCAAACTATACGTAGTAAGGTACCGAGCCCCTCTCGTCTTTTCGACTCCGCTCGATCGGACGGGCTTTTCACTTACGCCACAACCTGTTCCGTCATGACCCCCTCGAGTTGCCCCCTCTTCGACCCCTTTTCACAACTGGAGTAACCCACCGCCAATGTTGGGCCGTTTGTGGATAACTTCGGAGGACCGCGTAAACCTCCCTAGCGGACCTGAAGAACTGAAGACCTCGTGGCAATATCCGACGGTCTACCCGGTGCCCATCCCGCTGTCACGCGTCGTTCATCGCTTTCGGCCGCCGTCATTTCGGGGATATTGCTTGCTGAGGATGTATATTCATGCCTTGATATCTATAGCAGATACGGAGTAGTACTTTAGAAAGGCCATCTGCCTCTGTTCATCATTTGCCTCTCTTGCTGTTGCTACCAGGCAGGCTATACATTCCTTTTTAGAGTCCACCTCGATCAAAGCCCACACGCATCCCTCTCCCATCTCTGCTCATATCCTCATCTCGTCAATCTCTGACAGATCCAAGATCGCACCTCTCGTGGTTCTCCAGTTGTCACGTCACATTCCCAACACAAGATGAAGCCCTCAGTTCTTATTGTCCCCGGCGCTTGGCAGCTGCCTTCGGCCTTCCAGCCCTTTGCTACCGAATTGGCCGGCTCCGACTTCAACGCCTCCATCGTGGCTCTCCCCACCGTCGGCGGTACCACCACGCCCCTGGCGACCCTCTCCGATGATGTTGCCGCCGTGCGTACCGAGCTGGATAAGCTTGTTGCCGATGGTAAGGAGATTGTCATCTACTCCCACTCCTACGGTGGTGTTGTTGCCAGCAACGCTGTGGAGGGCTACGACGTTGCCACTCGCTCCGCTGCTGGTGCATCTGGAGGTGTTGTAAGCATCGTTTACGCCAGTGCCTTCATGCTTCCCAAGGGCTCCAGCTTGCTCGACCTTCTCGGAGGCGAGCCTCTTCCTTGGATGATTGTCGAGGTATGTAACCCAACCACCAATTTTTGTCGGTTACGAAGCGGCAGTGATACTAACATGCAATATAGGGGGACCGTGTTGTCGGCAACGCCACTCTTCTCCCCGAGGTTGGCTTCAACGACCTTCCCGCCTCTGAGCAAGAGAAGTGGGCGTCCGAGATGACCTGGACCGCCCTCGGCGCCTTCACCAACGCCTCCGGCTATGAGCCCTGGAGCAACGGTATCGACTGCGCCTACCTCTATGCCACTCTTGACAACGCCCTGCCTCTCAGCTACCAGCAGGGCATGTCCGCCGTCCTGCCCGCCGGCTCCAAGACGGAGACCGAGCCTAGCGGTCACTGTGCTCACCTTAGCCGGCCGGCAAATGTGACTTCTATCCTCAGCAGATGGTACCCGGGCAACTAAGCTAAGTGCCGCGGCGCGTCGAGGTGTGAAACGGAGGTTTTTTTGGGGGGGGGGGGGGGGGGGGGGGGTTTCGTGATAGCGGCGTGGCGGCGTGCGGAAAGCGCAGATCTAAATGAGCCAAGGAATACGAATAATACCTCCAAAGAATTAATGTAACGCTGTCAAGTCCCTCCGGTGGGCCTGTTTTATCTGCGACGTGACTTCGACAGCGGGCACAGTGTTGCCTGTCCCGTAGTTGGATGGAGCGGCAGTCTTGAAGGGACCTGGCGAACTGGCGAGTCACTAACCTAGCTGGCCACGTTGAAGCAAGGGAATGCCTCTGAAGAGGTTCTCGATCGTAACAGCCCGAAAGTCCTATCGTGCCACCATGAACCGTTCGTGTCCCCAGATCGTTCGCGAATGAATCGTGGTCCTCCCCGTTGGTGGCCTTCTCCACATGACGCCTGTCAACCTCTCAGGGGATAAACATCGGAAATAATGGCTTTCGTCTGGTTTCTGTGGAATTCAGGAAGAGCGACAAGCCATGCCCATGCTAGGGTCGCTCTGAGAGCAGAGTTTCTCGCCTACCAGACCCCGAACCCCACAAGGATCCTTGAACGTTTGACGGTTGACCTGAAAGGCGGGACCTCTGCGATGAACGATCGAGCAACGTGCTCTGCTCCCTGGCGGCGCATGTCTTTAGAGAAAAATAGTTCCTCCATCCGGCGCGAGTGTGGGAATTACTTACTATATGGTTTTGGCTGCAGCCGCGGAACGGATGCATCTACTAAGATTTCTTCCCGTGTTAGTCGTTACCGGGTATCCCTGTCTCTTCGAACACTGGAAGAAAGCAGACATGCGAGTGGAGTTGTCACCTCTTTGAAGATCCGATCCAAGGCTTTCCTCTTGTCCTTAAGCTGCCAAGTGAAAGGAGTGTTGCATAGGAACGGAATCCCCTTATCTCTACACTTTCAGGACCATGTCCCTGTCCTCAAATCCTTTACCTAACTCTCGGGGCCCCGACCCACTGTCAAGAACAGCAGAGGACTGGACATTCGTAGCCCAACAAGTCTCCTACGCGTGACGATGTTGGCCCCAAGATTCTTTACGTCAGAAGCCGCAATTTCCTTCTTCGGTTGGCTTTCTCGGGGACGGCCCAGATGTCGCATCAGTTGGGTTTGGTGTTAGCACCCTGGGTATCCGCAGCCTGCGACCTGATCCGTGTCGAGAATGGATCTCAGGGGCGGGCCCAGTGTAGGCACGTCTCTTGTGCTCAAGCGGGTCTCTTAGGGAAAGAAAGTAGCCCATTGTTTATCGGTTACGTGGAAAAACCTTTTGCTAGGCGATGGCATAGAAACCAGAAGTTTTTGCAAGCTCCCTCATCCAGAGGAGAGAATTGGTCGTTTCCACATAAGTATCCATACATACTTAGGTAGTCTCTTTCAATGAGGTCCGCTGAAGAATAGAATCTTGAAACGAGATGATATGTAATCATAACTTCAATGCCGAGGTGGTTGACTAGTGAGGTGCTCCATAAGTCATAAGCAATCAAGTAACACATACCAATTTGATTCAATTCTGGGCCACCTGCAAAAGACGGTCTAATCTACGAGCGTTACTGCAAGCAACTTGAGGGTAGTCCTGTCTCCTTCTATGGCCAATCTATAATGGGCAGACAATATCGCCGTTGACGTATGGACGCCAGGAGAAATGGCTTGTGATTGTTGGAGATAATGTACGGTAGCTACCCTGGCATGACCGTCTTCTCTCTCGATCTAACATCTGCTCTAAAGGACTGTTGGATTATCCGTCGGTTACTCCACAAAGAGTTGGTGATTTGGCTCCGTGGAAGTATCTCATCCCATAGGTACCTCAGGATGTGTCTACGCCACACAATGGATTTGGCTGGTGGTGCGGCTGGGAGGCCCATAGGGGGGCCTTTTCCAACAAAAGTTCTGTGCGGGGTAAAAAGTCCTAGTAGAGGGTCAACTTAATCTAGTATGTACTATTAAAGGGTGATTGAGTACAGATATGTTTGCAAAAGGTGAGCTTTTTTTTTTATACGCTTACGTGTCAAGATTAGATAACTGATAAATCATGAAAGAGTCAAACAACAGGACGTGTCTATAGTCTACTAAGGAGGTTAGTGATAAATCTTGGACTGGTCAGTGACGTATTCTCGGGAATTCGATGATCAGTACAACATGGCGAGGCAGGAATTTGGAAATTAAATGCATAACCAGAATTCATCCCCTTTAGTCTCCGTAGCCGGGT